CTTGTCAGCTAATAGGTGAGAATTACCCTTAAATCTTGCCTAGTAAACTTAAATCTAGTAAATTAATGTCAAAATCATAGAAAAAAAAATACACCATGCATTCTGACTGTCCAAATGAATGATTTTGTGGAGTTTTTCAGGATACATCATCATGAAGTGAGATTTAGTGAAATCTGGTCGACATTTTGTCTTTTATACACCCAGAGCCACAATTTAAGGTTATATGATGCTCTCTATTCGTTGGGCAGTTTAAATTGCTACTGTCGTCACTCAGCACGTGTTCAAAAACAATGTGTTTGATTGATTGGGCAGTCACATGATTGATGCAAAGAATTTTTGAGTTATTACTGTTTTGCTATACAGTGACATATCTGCACAATTATTTATATCCTAATACATATTTTTTTTTGTTCTCAACAGATTAACTGCAAAATGGATGAAAAAAAAGAATCTATTTTGGTGGGCATCTTTGTCTGCTTTGTCGGCATGGCGTCATGGATCGATATCAATGGCGTGTGGGTGGAACTGCCATTAATGGTGCACGTTTTACCCGAAGGCTGGAATCTTCCTTCCTATCTGATTATCATAATACAAGTAGCTAACATTGGACCTTTACTTTTCATTCTGATCAGCAAACTTACCAAACTTCAACTTGAGATTCCTACAAACTATATTATTATTTCCATTGGCGTTGTGGCATGCTCGCTACTTGTTGTCTTCTGGGACAAGACAACGCATCTGTTTGGGGAAGAACACAGTACAGCATTGTTTGTGCTATCTTCGTTCTTGGCGGCCGTGGATTGCACATCGTCTGTATCCTTCTTAGCATTCATGGCTATGTTTCCATTAAAGTTCATGACACCTTACTTTGTTGGAGAGGGACTTAGCGGACTTATTCCAGCGTTAATTGGACTGATTCAAGGTGGAGGGGGTAACTCTGAGTGTCTGAATACATCATATACTAACTCTACCACCAATTTTACAAGCTACCAACAGATTTACTATCACCCACCGCCACGATTTTCTGTTGAAGTCTTCTTCTCTATTCTTGTCATTATGTTGTCCTGCAGCCTCATATCGTTTGTGATGTTAAACCACCTGCCATTAGCAAAACGTCAAATGATACAAAATACTGATTTGAAGACGAAAAGAATGAGGGGATACGATATTGTTGCTGATAACACTGATGAAGGTGTCTCTATAGAGATGGTCAACAAACATAAACATTCAACTGTAACTGAAATAAATGCAGAGAATTTAAAATATGGTCAGATAAAAACACGTCTGAAGTCTGCACTGGACGCTGAAAAGATCAAACCGAAGAATGCCATGTCATCTTGGGATTGGCTATTATTGATGACCATCCAAATGTGGACCAATGCTCTGACCAATAGCGTAATGCCGTCTGTTCAGACGTATTCAGCGCTCCCTTATGGCAATATAGCGTATCATCTTGCTGTGACATTGGGTCAGATGGCTAATCCCCTCGCCTGTCTGGTTGTGCATCTCTGTCCAACCAGAAACAATGGTATTATCAGTTTGATAGCCTTCCTGGGCACGGCTGCTGGTGCGTATGCGATGTCAACCGCATTGAAAAGTCCATACCCTTACCTCTGTGGCAGTATGGGCGGAGAAGTTTTGGTGGTAAGTTGCTTAATAACTCCAGTGAGCTGTGGACAAATTTGTTTATGGCTGACTGAATCAGTTAAGATGAAGTATAGCCATAATTTTTTTTATGCCAATGAGTTTAAAATGGTAACTACTGTAAAATACTTTATTTTAAGACGGGTATTTTTTTTGCTAAAATGACTTTTTCAGTGTTTTGTATGGAATTTATTTTCACTTCTTTTTTTATTTTTATTTTGATGAGTTGAAAAAAAAATATATTTGCTGGATTTTATTTTCGCTGAATCATCCCTTCTGCAAAAACATTGTGAAAATAAAGTATTTTACAGTAGGTTCTGTCCTACGACCAGGTAAATCGAGACATAGACTTGATGAAGTAAGTAACAGATAGTGTAGTAACGAAAACCAACTCCTGTAGTCTATGGATAGCTGTTTGTTATTGACGTTTCAATCAAACACACCTCGAAATCACCATCAGAGTTACACCATCTCTCCTCCAGTGCCGATTCTATCCTGATTAGTACCTGTGTCTGGTAGACACATTGATAATGAAACCAAGCAATCCATAAACAGTCCAGTCTACTTGTTTCTCATTACTACTTTGTATGATGCCAATGTCAACATTTCCTTTTAGATTTGGCTACAAAAAATATTGTTACTTATTTCCAAATCAAAGACAAATTTCATATCCACTTAGTAAATTGGGACCATTATTGGTTAATTTATGCAAATTTTTTAATAATGGCTTGTAGCTTATTTTAACGTGTTTGACAGTATTAATACCTGGTAGAAGCCCCTCTATTCATTTTGAACACTGACTCAATAAATATCATATTTGCTTCATTGGTAACATGTGCACTTTACATAATTGACACAGGAATGTTTTATGGCCAAAGTATGGAAATATACTACCGTAAAATCTGTATTAGAAGCTGCATCCATTCATTTTGAACAATTGAGAACCAAAAATCCATGATTTCTCATATGTGTAGATGTTCTAATAGAAACTGTATCCCTTCTGTTGCATTGTACCATTTTAATAGAAACCATGGCTTCTAATACAGATTTTACAGTAGTATACGCTTCTAATGAGAGCAAATATGGTAGACGAACCAAACTACCGTACCAATCACGACTATTATCAAATGAAACACAATTTTTACAGGCATATTTTAAAGAGTATCGTCGACGCCCAGCAAAAAACACTAAATGCTTGGCAGCATGAAAGGCTATGTACAATGGCGCATACGAATGTGATCAGATACTAAAACGTCATACCGGTAGCTTTGAAAAGTACCCGGATGTGAAATATGCTTATTCGTTATTTATTCCCCTCCATGAATGGCCTCCATGGTGTTTAATTTTAAGCTACAGTTATAATTAAAACAAAATTAAACCACTGCAATATTATTATTACAGTTTGGAATATACACAACTATAAATTAAGACCGCATTTAGGTTTGCTTCAATATGAGAAAGGAAATGCCTGACACAACAAATAATACACGTTAAAACCAATTGGTACTAATGTATGGGATCAATGCCATTAATGATGATTCTGTATGCTACGCCATCAGGTTTGAAAAAATAAAAACCATAAAATAAAAAATTGAGACTTTATTCCATTCCTTTCTATTTGTACAATGTAGGTGCTGGCATGGATTATGTTAGTTGGATTTCTGACCTACGTCAAAGTGATGATTTGCGTTAGATGTCGTGATAATGGACGCAGAGCATTGATATGGTGCGGTGCCGTAATGCAGACTGGATCTTTAATCGGTTCTATTATCATCTTTCCTTTGGTCAATACTTTGCATTTATTCACTATAAGTGACCCTTGTTCCAATACATGTTGGGACTAGTTATGTGCAATGTTTGTTATGACTGTAATTTATCTCCCTCTTTACTATACTCTATGTCAATGATGAATGTTACTAACTAGTAAAAATGGGAAAAAAAAATTACTGTAAATTCTTGATATTTTGCACATACTTTGAAAAAAGCAAGTCACAAGGAATATTTTTTTGTGAAATCATGAGCTCGAGAAATTTGATGATTCAATTTGACATCAAGTTGCAATCGCACTTGAAATTAACGCAACGCGAATAAATTTCGAAATTAAGTAAATGTACTTTCTGTGATGGTATTTATTGATTTGTTAGTGTTTTGGGATAGATCATGTTTTATTGCATGAATGTGCATGCATTGCGAGAATCATGTTGGATTTATTTCAGTGCATACCCCCCTGTGTTGCTGTATTATTTTACAAATTGTGAATGCATGCAAGTCAGAACATGATTTGTATAAATTATTAACGTTAAAGAGGAAAATAATGGGGTAATGAGGATGACCAGCTTATCTAACAAGCTCAGCCTGAAAAGACTAAAGACATTCATATTTCAATTTTTTGGGGATTCCCCTTTGAAATAAAACTTTGTTACTTGTGTTTAGAAATATTTTTTTTAACCATCATAAAATTTAATAGTATTTATTGTAAGCAAGCATACTTGTTAAAAGTAATACTACATATCAATACACTGTAAATTATTATCATTTTTTAGCTCCGCTGTCGACTTTGTCGAGCGGAGCTTATCATATGAGTGATTGTCCGTCGTCGTCCGTGTCAATGTTTTACTTTTTCGACTTCTTCTTGAAAACTACAAGCCTGAATGCTTTGATACTTGCTGTATATGTACCTTGGGTAGACCTCTCTTAGATTTGTTCATTTCATGTTGATATCTTCAATTCTCTAATTTTGGTGAATATTTTTGTCATTTTTGGTAAAAAGTGATATTTTCGACTTCTTGTTGAAAACCGCAAGTCCAATTGCTTTGATATTACATATATAGGTACTACATGTGACCCTCTCTCAGATTTGTTCATTTTGTAATGATATCTTTAATTCTCTAATTTCGGTGAATATTTTTGTAATTTTTGGTAATAAGTGATATTTTCGACTTCTTGTTGAAAACCGCAAGTCCAATTGCTTTGATATTACATATATAGGTACTACATGTGGACCTCTCTCAGATTTGTTCATTTCATAATGATATCTTTAATTCTCTAATT